AAAAACTCTTATAATATCGGGCGATTACGAAGGATCGGATGAACAAATCGATTTTTGATAATTAATTTTAAAACAATAACCAGTTCTGCTAATAATTACTGTTGCTATAATATATGGGATAGTAAGGAGAATGAAAACAAAACAGATCAAAAAACCAATGTTAAAATGAGACTATAAATTGGCATCCGTTATGACAATAGCACTAAAGATACTTCTGATGCCTGTGCACCCTTTTTGTATTTCTGAAAGTATGTCTTAATTGCGGACATACTACAGTTAGGTCTAGAACGAATATTTTCTAAATGCTGCCTCACTGCGCTAAAAGGAATGAACACTTTGCCGCAGTTTAGCTTCCTTTTTGCATGATCTTTCTGCATCGCAATATTTATTGAATTTTGCATTGCTACCCTATGGTCGTGCATGTTCCGCAGCACATTTTCATCTGTGTTCTACTATTGCAAATGAAAAAAACGTACTTAAAATTTTGCTAAATTTGCAAAACTAACGTGAATTTCCGAAGCATCCTTTCTGGTGTCTTTTCAAGTGGTCCTTGCGGCTGAAGGATATGTTACAGCATTCGCATTGAGATTTGAGTTGATGTGGTTGATGATTTCTCTTCTTGTGAGAGTGAAATGATCCCCTATGATTGTACTGTTTTCTACAATTGGGTTCTTTACATTCGTAAATAAATGGTTTGCCGTGCGTTTTCCTGTGTTCTCTATATTCTTTGGAACTGTTCGTGCGCAAAGTACATCCGACATAATGACACTCATATATTCGCTCTTCTGAAAAACTCTTGTAATGTCGGGCGATTACGAAGGATCGGATGAACAAATCAATTTTTGGTAATTAATTAAAAAAATACCCGGTTCTGCTAATAATTAGGAGAATGGAAAGAAAGCATGTCAGAAAACCAATGTTAAAATGAGACTATAAAATAGCATTTGTTGTGACGGTAGCGCTGAAAATGCCGCGCAGCCTTTGATACCTACGCACTTTTTCGTGTATTTCTCAAGTTATCCACGCATTATGGATTTCATCAGTTTGGTCCAGAAGGAATATTTTGTAAATGCTGCCTCACTGCACCAAAAGAAATGAACACTTTGTCGCAGTTTAGTTTCCTTAGCACTTTATCGCAGTATTTGCTCATTAATTAATGTAATTTGAAAACTGATCCTTGTAATGCACAAAATAAGCTTATCACATCACATTTCACTTGAATTACTAGGAAATGTTCACTTTTTTGGCATATATCAGGGATAAAAATTTTCTTTAATGGACGGATATAACTGCAAATTTTCTGCAGTAACGAAATCAGTTTCGTTCTTAATTTTTGTAATCTCATTTTCACACGATTTTGTGAATTGTAAGGGTTGGAAGTAAAAATCATTGTGTAATACCTTACCAATTTGTTCCCGGTGATTCTCCATCAATATTGCTTGTACTAGGTATCTGAATTAAATGGTGATAAACTGCAGATG